CAGTGCGACTAGTAATAGGGTTTACAGGCAGCAGTGTGCCACGAGGAGTACTTAAAGTAATGCTGAGTCTGAGGTTACAAGAAACAGGGAGTAGTGACCTCCCCCATGGAGGACGGAGGTGCACCAACGTCCCAAAATTTGGATTGCAATACATTTGATGAACAAATCTTAGTCGAATTATTTTTTCTTTTTCTAATGTTATACTTACTAATGTTATATGTACTAGTACATGTACTAGTATAGCGGTATGTCGTATGCATCTCCTACGGACTATTAGTCCTGCTTTGAAAGTAAAAGTCCGACCACCCAGCTTGGGCTTGAAACTCAATTGAACATTTTAATTTGGCTATTTAATACGTCGCGTCTACGGTAAAAGTCCCATTGGGTGGGAATATTCAGTGAACTATATAGGTTAATAAGTATAATATAGTGGTTTCATTAAATATAACTTACCTTACTCGGGAATATTATAGCGGGTTAATTTATGACTGGGAAAATTAATGACCGGGAAAAATATGGCGGACTTTCCCAAAACCCGCCAAATTATCCCGGTCATGTATTTACCAGTGGCCGACCTTTCAAGTTTTTTTTTCAGAGGTCAACAAATTTTCAACCGAAATTTCTGTTTTTGTTATTTGTTAAAGAAGTTATACTTATTTCAATTTACAGTTATTGGTATTACTCAGAAATAGAAAAAAAGACACGTCTATTTAAAGGAAAATAAATCTAAGCAATAATAAGTCAAATCTTCATTAAAGCGTATTCTCATTCTCATTATCGCTAATGTCCCCGCCATTATCATTATTGATATCCCCCTGAGCTGCTGGCCGTCAAATTCGAAGTTGTATTGTTGTTCACTTGTCTTAACAAGACTTTCATTTTGTCCGCTAATGGGGCTACTGCTCTGAAGGTCAGCCGGAGCTTAATTTCCTGCCCACCGCTTGGTATTGGGGAACGTCTTGGCTTTGCATCTTCAACTGCTCCAGTAATCAATCCACCGTGGACCATGAAATAGTGGCACAGTTTACTCACTTCTAGCGGGATGTGGCCACAAGTTACTTTAACGGGAAAAACTCCCTCGTTCTTTAGTCTACACACTGCACACGAGAAGCGATCAATCTTTAGAGACATAATTATTATAATATATATTATATATTATTATTATTTTCGTTTTCTTCTATAACATATAAATTGTTTTCTTCTCTACGATTCACTGATTCATGGGCAAGAGAAGTGAGAATCACGGTCCACCCTGAAATCTGATTTCTATAACCAAATTGTGATTTTTATAACGAAATTATGGTAGCAACCGCCAATAAAGTTACAGCCCTCCATCCACTGCTTCAAAAGTCTTCTCTATCACATATGAGACTTCAGGTAAAATATGATAATCACCACCCCCTTGGAACCCCATAATCTGAGTCGGCGGGTTTTTTTATAACTGGTAAAATTTTTGACCGGGAAAAATATGGCGGAAACTTCCAAAACCCACCACTTTATCCCGGTTATAATATTCCCGAGTAAGGTAAATATTATTACATTATCTAAGTAAGTACTATTTATTTAAACAAATTCATAGCCGATTGAAGAGGCTCTCCTCTAAATAAAGTTGAAAATACTGTGAATTGTCTAAATAACCTGCAGATACTACATAATATTGGACTATAATACAACTTTTAGACGGTATGGACCAGGTTATTTATATAACCTGTAATCTCTGCCTGTTTAGAACTGAGAGCGAGTTGAAATTTAGCCTGCAAATTTATTTACTGGTGAACTTATAAAAGCCAAGATCGCTTTAGTACGATCAATTATTTCCTCAGAAAATTGCAAGGACTTTGTACCCAATTTCCATTTGACCGTATGATCAAGCACGACTTATTTATTATAAAAGTTCAAGTGAAATCGCTTTGTTTTGAGATTATGGATGTTTTTACTGCAGCAATTTCTTTTTTAGATCGATTGTGATCATGATAAACTTTAAAGTATAGGTTGGTGTTTACTGTTTTTGTATTTTTTATCTTATTCCTCCTGTATTTGAAGCACAGCAGCAGCATGTGCAGACACCACGGACACTATTCAAGTTCTCAATTCTTTCCCAGTCTCCATAGTTATTCATATCATATAAACGACAGACTTTCGCTCAAAATGAGCGAAAGTAGTCCTACCTATATTGAGTTTCGTCAAGACTTGACGGGGCCTTCACATCTTCCGACCACCCTACCCCAATGATTTGTATACTGTATATAAATCATATACAATCATATTCGAGATATTGTATTTTTAATGAAAAAGTATGGAAATAAAGAATAACTATAAATATTCAGTTTCATTATTCGCACCTGCTTGCAGTTCTCTCACACACTCCAACATGTTGGATGGTATGTTGTTGGAGAACGGGGACGGAAGTATTCAGTGAACTATAACTACAAATTGGCCAGCACGTAGTTGGTTGCTCTAACCAGAGCCCTCTCGCTTGCAGTAGCGCGCGACCGCCGAACGTAGTTGGCACACCATATTAGCCACCTAATACCTATTAATACCTCCAACACTGTCACCTAGTCCAACACTGTTGGCTCAATTTTCCTGAATTGTATTTTGCTAATTGTACGATAGCAATGTATGATAAATTGATATGTTAATGATATGCCACCGCATTTTCGTTTCCTCTGTCGAACTAGCCGAGTATAATAGCGTTTTTTTTCTCCGTCCGCCAGGTCAAAGCAAGGTCTGCATTTTGACACCAACACTACACAATGACAATACCTGTTCATAATATGCTTACAAACACTAAAGTATTTCTAGATTACACCGAGTACAAGCCTTTGATCTAGCTCGCAATACTGTCTGTACTTGCTTAAAATGTGTTTCATAACATTCTTGGGTTGATATTGACAGGCTTCAGGAATGCAGAAGTGATAACGAAACAAAATGTATCTCAACCTGGATCATTGTTCGGAACAAAACCGGAGTCGTAGGAAAATGTGGTGATGATGATCACCAAAGACACCAGTATAATTGGTACCAGTACCATGAAACAAACCCGGCTCACTGATGAAGTAGAGCTTAATAACTGCTCTCAAAATAGGTTTTAGTGCGACCGTGTTCAGTTGTTGATACCTTCCATCAAATCGTGGTGACAGGATAATACACGATCAGGTTAACAGCTTATAGTCTGTTATACTGCCACACTTTTATATTCCCGTTTAGCCTGATTCAGCTCCTTATTTTGAACGACAAATTTATTTTTAAATGAAGCGTCATGTTTTGTGCGGTTTTTAAATGCACGGTTAATTTGCTGTCTTCTGTTATAAACATATTGTATGATTTGGAACTTTTCAAAATACACTTGTAATGATGATGTAAAGCTCTCACCATCAGTATAATGATTTCTCTATAATCTGCAGCACAGTAGGAAGTGAGGCAAAGCAACCCCTGCCCGCTACCCATTAATGTCCATTATCTACAAATCAATGCACGTCGAGCCACATTACCTATGATGCATCACGCGCACCCATTAAACGACTCTCATGTACACAGGCTTGCGGTGGATCCTAATTTGAAATTAAACCATCTGTGCCATTTACAAAACCGAAACTTCAATCAGTAATAGATGGTTTTTGGTTTACCATCACTTCAGGACTAACTTCAGAGTCTTAATTTAAGTTGAGCGGTCTGAGAATAACTCTAATTACAAGGGTATAGGTTTAACGTTGAACTCCAAGGTCTACTGATACTCGTCTAAGTCTAAGATTCTCTGCAGTGTGTACGGACCCGGAAGGAGAGCTCTGAGTGTGTGGCGCACAATACTTTAAAAACAAACGTATTGAAGGAGGAACCATTATAATCGGGGGCTTTGTGGTTCTGTATTGTAGTTTTATGGTCCTTTTCGTAAAACAGTTATAGTGTTGGATCTTCGGATGTAGTAGAATTTTGTTTAACTCTTTTGAGACCAGGATCTAGGGATCCCCCTATAACAGTGGGGACATGATACCGAATATTTCTTATTCGGGGAGTCAGTAATCTACACGTCTTCTATTGTCAAACATGTTACTCCGACGATTTGTTACTCGAATTCGGAAAGAAATGGGAATACGACTTTAGATAATTATGAGATAATAGTCCACTGAACAATGAACACGGTTTTCTTTCTAATTCATACCTTTACGTTCGTTTATTAAACTCATAGTGGTTCTACATATTGAAATCCAATAATAAATAATTAGCGTAGTTCATTTTCGTCACACTAGTGCGCATTTACGTTATCTTTTCCGTAGAATTTGCATTTCTAATTATTACTCCAATTATGAATCTACACGTCTTTAAATAATGTGTAGCCACATCTAATGGCTCTTCATGTGCTGCAAAACTTATTCATGCATTATTGTGCTTATGTTTTTAATATTTGGTTCTCTTTTGTTACTTTGTGAATAAAGACGTAGAACAAAACACGCAAAATATAATAATAATGTAACAAACGTATTGTCGAATCATATTTAAATCATCAACCGTTATTGTTGTTGATTTGTGTTGCGATGATAATCTTTTGTTTATTTGAAGAATAGAGAATCTAGATCACACTTCAATATTGCTACTTTATATGTATCTAGATCAGGAAATATGTTATGAATCATCAGTGACTTGGTTATAGTTGTGTAGGACTGGTTCCTGCCACCTTCCTCAACCTAACCATTCAATGTCACTTTTCCAGTCAATAATTCCTGCCAATTTAGCGACTATTTTAAAACAATCTAACTTGCTGCACGTATTAGTATAGTTCAGCTGCTAGTCCCATTTTTCATCGTCGTGAACACAGGCAGATCCCAGCAAGTGACACTGAACCGGAAACGAGACTGGTATTAACAACCACCTACATCTCATATAGATATTAGATATTACTATTAGATAATAATATAGTTTAAATAAGGTAATCATTTCATATAGTTATTATAGATAATAATATAGTTTAAATAAGATAATCATTTCATTACCGCACCATTGTGTTATCGATTAGCTGCCACCTACCCAGTTCAAGTTAAGTGATTCTTGAAACGACAATAACGTACGTAAATTACTTCATGTATATTAATTAAGTAATTACTAAACGTATAGTTCTAGGTACCACTACTATCAACTATAGTACCTGTGAGTCAGTAATATTTTAGGATTTAATTGCCATTATTGATCAAGACTATCGTGTTTGAGGTTAGGAAGCTATCGAACCGGAAATTTTTAGTTTAACCCTAACAGAACCTCGATTTCTGTTTGCCGAACTGAACTTTTTGGCGGCCGCTTAATTGTATGTTCTGGTTACATTAGAGGATATCATTAACTTGGCTAGGCTATTTCTTTAGTAGTAGCCACTATTTTACTATATAGGGATAGGTTTGGCTGTCTATTCAGATGATAGAAGTTGAAACTTAGGCAAATATATTTCTGCTTCGGTAGAAGTTTTGCTTTGCCTTAAAGTTGGAGTTGGAGTTGTGCAAAGAAGCCTTTTTGTTTACCGAAGTATTGACCGTGACGACGATCGTTCTTCAGTGGCGCTGGCGTGTGGAGAAATTAGTGAACCTGCCATTAAACGTATACTTCAGCTATGATTACACTTGTAACTTTTACATGTTTACTATTACTAATGCAAATGATGAAGTATTTATCTTATCAGATATAATTAGGATGTTCCTAAATCCTAATATGAACTGTGAACGGAAATGTGACATGACCGTGACAAGCTTCATATCTAACAGTTTAATTTTCATCAGTATGCTGTTATGAGTATGGTATGGAGTGCAGTACGAAGCTGTAATGGACTCTATAACTTCTTACCGATTTCTCGATTCCCCTGAAGATCCGAAGTTAGTTCAATTTAACATTTGTATTTGACTTAACGGGTGATACTGATACTCGTAAAATATTTGTTCCAAATATTAGACCGTCGACGAATCCAACTCGGCGCGCGTCTTGGTAAATTATAAACCTACAAGACTTTCCCACTCCCAGCAAACTGCGACATTTTTTATATATTTCAAATTACGCTTCCTAATTTTCACACAATGACCAGAAAAGATCCTTTGAATTTCATAATTACGTTCAATTGAACTAAAAGGTATGCTACCTAAACCCATACAATTTTTTCCAAATAAACAATTGAATTGTAGCGAACATGTGTTCAAAATTCCCACAAACATTTACAAGAATTCTTTGGAACTCCGCTGTTGTTCGTCGATTAGTATAGTTGCTTTCATCGCAATCAAGCAAAGAAAGATAATGTTTTTCATCGCAATTAAACAAAGAAAAAACACGTTTTTGTCCATAGCACGTCCGGTTCGTGATATCGACCTGGTATAGTATGGTACGGAAACATTTGTTACAAGTGGTGACTAAACGAAGACAAAAGAAGGGATATGTTTTAGAAATAGACATGGTACCGGCAAAGTGCATGTCCAATGAAATTGGTCTTCAGTCTTGCTCAATGCATCGACAATGTGATTTCTCTGGATTTCTAATTTGCCCATAAGATTTAATTTAAAAAAGAGACTCTTTAAAATTCCTCAATTTTGCACAGAAGACTTGATTCCAATGGAACAGCCTTCAAAATCTTTTCATTCTGCCCGTCAATTTAATTCTGATGAGCAATGAGAGACTCTTTATAGTCTTTAAAATTTTCAATTCCATCTTATTTAAATTAAGAAAGGTATTTGAATCATTTTCGTCCATTGTCTTTTAATAATTTAACGAAAGTGTTATAGAATTCGAAATACCAAACATTTAATTACAATTTTGACTGAGATGTTCTGCCTGAATTCGATATTTAGCATATTTATTTATTTCCTTCTCATTATAATTTAATGTTTTGGCGGATACATATTATGTAATTAGCGTACCTCCGGTACCAAATCCGGTACAATTGCCTTATTGACAAATCAATGCTGGGAGGTAAATAAATTGTCAAGGTTGCTTTGATAAATAGTTACTTTTTCGGATAAAAAGACAAAAGATGTCCAATCAAAATCCCTCTTAGAATTACCTGGGGACCTCAGGCAATTATATTTATGTTCATAATAGAGATTAGGCGGAATGACAGGCTGAGCGCGGCCCAGTAATCAGAATCTTAGAAGTTCTAAGAAGTTCTAAGAAGTTCTTAGAAGTTCTAATAGAACTGAAGGGTTGCTACAATTAATATTATAATTATAAAGTCACTCTTTATATTCAAGGAACGGTAATTTTATTACACTTAATCGCATCGAGCGTGCTAAATCACTCTACAGTCGATCTTCGAGATTGTTCTAAAAGGGCCCCCGACAAAATAAGGGCATAGCGCATATAATTATCTTATTACAATTATTTATTTTAATACTCCTATATAATACTTGTCCTTGGCAGAGGTGTTCCAGATAACTATGTCACCTTTTTCTAAAGCGAAGCCATATCATATTATGAAGTATTTATTATTTGCCGCCGTTTCCAACACGGAAAATGATAACTGTTATTTAACTGGTAACCGCATGGATGAGAATTAATTAATTCGAATCGCTTTTTTATATTTACATTACGTGAAATTTCAATTACTGGTTCTGCGGTCATGTTTCGTTTTTGTTTTTTACCAATTCATTGGTATCAATTAATTAATTAACTCAGTATAAAAAGTCACAGTGACCTTTTAGCTGGAGCTAAATCTCGATTACTGGTTCTGTGGTTGTTTCGTTTTTGTTTTTACCAATTAGCCCTTTAGCTTTTTAGCTGGAGACAAAAATACCATGAAACTATAGAAGACGTACGTGGTATTGTTTTTATTGTGCACCTGATCCCCCATGAGTTAACACTTGCTATATTTAGCTGTGAAAGTGTGGGGAGGCAATGTGCCCGACATAGGTAATTAGGTACGCTTCCTTGCTATTTTAACACACCTTGTTAAAGACTAATATAAAGAGTTTCCCTGATGTTTGTGCGTTGTTTTGAAATTTCTTAGAATGTTAAAGTCTTATGTCTTTTTTTTTTCTTTTTTTTTAAAGTCTCAAGTCCTGATACTTTACGCAATCGTTAAAAATTAAAAATATTCTCCGGCAAATTACAGTTAATTCACCGTTTTCATATTTGCGACACATTTAATTGTGCATAATACTAAAATGGTGAATTAGCGATTCCAATTGTCAATATTTAACAACTTCATATTTATTATACATATTAATTATACAGGGTGGGCCTCAAAAGTCTACCCATCCTTATCTCTTAAAATTGTAACAGCTCGCTGAGATCTCACTAATTATTTTATTTCAGAATGGAAAAGCGCCATAACTTACCTTCTGATTAATATTTTTGCTTCAAATTTTTAGAGAATTTCAATCATAATTAGACACAACTTCGTGCCAAGTTTTGTGTGAGTCTGAGCTTGTCTGACAAATTTAGCTCCTGAGCGTGCTAGCTTAAATTTTTAAATTTCTCACCCAGAAATGTTTACATTGGTTAATAGGAACCACCAAAAAAAATCCTTGGTAAAAAAATTAAAAAACCACCGATTTATTTATGTTTTACCAATTCTATTCATCGCACATTCCATGTGAGAAGAACGATATACACAAGCAGGAAGGATCATCTGTGATAGTCCTTATCAGTTAAAATATAGAGAGAATGGAATGTGCGATGGATCGTGGTGAATAGAATTGATAAAACGTGAATAAATCGCTGGTTTTTTTATTTTTTTACCCAGGATTTTTTTGGTGGTTTCTTTTAACCAATGTAAACAGTTCTGGGTGAGAAATTCAAGCTAGCTCGCTCAGGGGCTAAATTGGTCAAATAAGCTCAGTGAAGCTCGCAATCACACAAAACTTGCCACAAAGGTTTAGCTACTTGTTATTAACATTCTGTGAAATTTAGAAGCAAAAATATTTATCAGAACATAAGTTATGCCACTTTTTGTTTTACAAATAATTAGTGAGATCTCAGCGAGCTGTTACAATTTTAAGAGATAAGGATGGGTAGACTTTTGAGGCCCACCCTGTACAAGTTGGAACCATTGCGTGGTAAATGCTTGGATCATATATATTACTATTAGTATTAGTTAGGATATATGATATAATATAACAACATATAGCATAATAATAATAGTTAGCATAGAATATATATGTAATAGTTAATGTTATATTAGGATGCACAAATTGCACATGGTGAGGAACAGCTTGGATAATATGTATATAATAGTTAGGGTATATAATTATTGTACATAATGTAATAATATATAACACAATAATAATACTTACGATATATGTTAGAATATTTTTATTCAAATATATAGTATATCGACTCTGTTACATTGTTTCCTCAATAAATATATTCCATTGTACTATTGTAGTTGTGAAAATAGTCTAAAACTATAGTTAGGATGCACATGGTGATAAACAGCCCCGCACCTCGTAAGAAAAGAAATGGTCGCCCTGCTTACTCCACCCCGCTTAGTCAACGTAAACCTATTTACTCATCTTCAAAAGACCGTGTCACTGTTATAGACATAGAATCAGGGTGAGTACGGAGTGCTAATGTGCCTAACTTGTGCCTCTACTGTTCTGTGCCTAAATTGTGCATCTACTAGTAGTAGTACTGTGCCTCTTCAGTCTTCTTTGTGCCTCTACCAGCTAGTACTGGTCGCAACATTCCTTTTTATTATTTGTGTGACTTTTCTGCTATAAATCCCTTATAGATGCTGCAACATATCTTAAAACCTTGAACTGCGAGTAAATCATTGTAAGACTTTGATTTTAAAAAAGGGCATATAGTTGGTCAACGGCTAAATACAAATCCTGTCACCTGTGGTGTCGAACACATTTTCATCCTCTAAAACTTTCTCATAACGATATTTCCTTAAAATAATTTCTGGCTCTAACCATAATCATAACCGTAATAAACTAAACTAAACTCTCTCCAAAATCAACATATCTTGTTTAAAATGACACAACTGTTCTGCAAATTGACCAGACGATTATCTATAACAGCTTATCTTTCAGTGGATTGATGTTAGAAGAGAAGAAGTCGCATACTAACCACAAAACAGACGACATCAGGCGATCCTACTGTGACGACAAAACCCCGCCGAGATTGTCCTTGAACGATGACAAAAGAATCTCTTCTGACTCCACAGCTTACCTGTTAGAGGTGCCCACTCCCGTTTCTCCGACTGTATCCCCCGCTACTGCATGTGCACCCCTGGCAGAGCTTTGCAAGATTAACGTCTCAGGTATACATGTTGCACTGGGTACTTTCGTAGAACTGAAATAAATTAATATTGAATTCAATATTTGAATTTTGCTAAAGTTTTGTTTTAATGCTAAAACAATGAGGATGTAAATTAAAACCTACCTTCGTTTCCAGGGAGAGAGTACGTCACAACATACGATTGTCTCGACAAGTACCCAGATACTCTGCTTGGGAACCCCGTTGAACGAGACAAGTACTACAGACCCGACATCAACTCTTACTACTTCAACCGTTCCCGTCAATGCTTTGAGACGATCCTAGCGTTTTATCAAACAGGCAGAAGCCACCAAGTCCCTGAGTACGTATGTTTGGACTTGTTCGAGGATGAGAAGCGTTTCTTCAGAATCCCAGAACCGTACTATGATGAGGACGGGTCAGAACTGGGCGGAGAGGATGAACACACAGGGGGCTTCCTCAGTCACTGCTCCCCCAAGATCAGGTCAAAAGGGCGGGACATCTACCAGACTATCATGGACCCGACCTTCTCCCGGGCAGCTTCCATTTGGCATACACTCGATATCATCTTCATTTGTATCTCCATAACCTTCATGATTTGTGAAACGGACCCGGTGGTTGGGCATTATTTTGTCTTCCCGGTCCCGGATGATGGGCATGAGGAGGAGATTCTGATGGTTGGGTCATTGTTCCCTGTAAACAACATCTTATTCGGGATTGAATCATTACTCATCATGTTTTTTAGCATAGACATAGTCGCCAGGTTTATAACCTGGCCAGGGTTTCTCACATTCTGGAAGAACATTTTCAACATTCTAGACATTTTATCAATTATTCCATTCTACATCAGTCTGGTGGCTCACAACATGCATCCAGAAGGTGAAGGCGAACACCATGACGACGAAGTGGTCAAACAAAAATACTTCATCCTCAAAATGTGCCGAATTTTTCGAATAGTTCGGGTTTTCAAGTTCGTAAAGCATTCCAAAGACTTAATAGTAATCGTGAAGGTTCTGCTATCTTCCAGAAAAGAACTAGGTTTACTGGTAATCCTTCTGGGTATATCCACAGTCACATTCGGGAGCATCATGTTCTATGTAGAGCACGAGAGTAACCCAGACATGTTTAACTCTATCATGACTGGATGCTGGTGGGCTCTGGTGACCATCACGACTCTGGGGTACGGGGACATTCATCCTATAACTATAGGGGGCAAGATTATCGGGGCTGTACTGCTGACTTTTGGGATGGTGTTCCTGACCCTGCCCATGACAATTATTGTTAGCAAGTTTGGGAGTGTATACGAGAAGGAGAATAGGAAGTTGTACGATGAAGTACCAGACGTTTCTACTAAAGAGGATTCCACATCAAACATTAATACTCCTAAGTTAAGGAATTCTTGAGACGCTTGAACTGGGAAGATTGTTGATGTTTTATGAAGATTATTTACAAATGCTGAGTTATTAATTTAAATTTGTTCTTGGCCTGACTTGCATGATGACAGATTTATTGAGGTTGAATATTTTGGAATTTGGATGATAAGCAGTTTTAAATTGAAGTGTTTCATTTATTCGAGAAGGCCCGAAAGTTTTTCTCAGATATGTAACAAAAAATGATATGCAGATATTGGATTAAAATATATTAAGCAAAACTGAACTCAAATAAGATGTCATTTACAAAAAGCAATTAATCAATAATCGTAACAAAGCATTACTGTAAATCGTTAACTTGACAGTAATTCGCAAACGTAAAAATTGAGTTTATCAAACTGATACGATTTTTGTAAATCGATATCCCACAACATTTCTAATGGATAAATTGTGGAAGAATTCTCATTAATGTCCCTTAAGACAAATTATTTTGTATGAACCAGAACCAAGAAACTGCATAAACACAACAAAGAGTTTAAAAAGCTTACTTATCATTACAGCTAAAGTTCGTGTTACGATAAGAATAAAATATGTAAAACAATATTCTGAATAAGAAAATGTATAACGGCTTTACTATAAGTCAAATCAATTTAAAAAGCTAATCACAGCCAAAGTCATATCATATTATAAATTAAACGGAACGCTATATAACAAACAAGAATTGACCAGAAGTCACCAGAAAATTCTTTAAAAGAACCTAACCTTGACATCAACAGTGAAAACACAATAGCAAAAGAATTCATTATAATTCAGCTGCATATTAAACCTATCGAGTCGAGGAAATTTAGGTAATTCTACCATATATACATATTCTAGCATATTCTAGCATATTCTAGCATACATACATATTTCATTCCTACGTCTGATTGTACCCCTGAGTAAAACTTCTCAACACATGATCATCAGTACTATACTCATTAGACCAGTTATGGGACCTGCTGCTAGACGAGGACCCTGAAGCAGAGGACCTGGCTCCGGGAGAAGCCAGACTCCTAGTGCTGGCCTGCATGTTGCTGGTCCAGTCAGGGTTAATGAGCTGGTCTGTGAAGAGGGGAGGTCTGTTCTCGTGGACAGGGCTCCGGGAGAGATAAACCTTGCCTCTCAACTCCCCGCACACTTCATCATGGAGTCGTAACACCACGCTGAACGGCTGCACCGTGTCAGTTTTAACCTTGTCCTGCATGGTGAGGATACCCTGCCCGTAACATTCCTCACTGCCATGAGACACAACCTGGATGAAGATGTAGTCATTGGAGATGTAGTCTCTGTTAGGAAGGATGGGTTCCAGCTCGGGAATATCTGCTGCTCCCCAGTAGGACACATCACACTTGGACAGTCCGTACTGTACAGGGAAGCTGCTCAGCTCATCATCGTACTCAGCGAGGACTCGAGGGGCAGGTTTACTTGTCGGGGTTCCTTCTAGAAGGTATGAGAAGAATTTCACGCAAAACCTGTCCGGACTGTTTGTCTTGATCTTTGCCTGGAGGATGGGGAATCTGATTTTCAGGGAATCATCGCTGTGGTCGGTCTCCGTGTCTGTGTTTTTAGAGGAGACATACTGAGTCCGGGTGGAGACCTGGTAGGTTGCGATTACGGGGGCGTGGTCACTGGCCTTGTACTGCAGGTTGCAGAAGTAGCCGGTTTGAGTCTGTTTTAGCTGGGGTAGGGAGTGAAGGAGGATCCGGTCACAGTATGAAGGTACGTTGTGGACGTTGCCTGTTGTTTTGTACTTGATGTACACGTAGTCGTCTCGTGAGCCACGTTTGTAGCGGTAGCTGGGGGGAAAGTTTATGTCGGCCTCCTTAAAATCATACAACACATTGCCACATCTCTGCTGCTGTTTTAACTGATCGTACTTCATGAGCCCACTGTAGTCCGCTACCCGGATCCGATCCAGAACCTCTCTATATTCACAATCCAGACGATAGTTCAAATCTCCTATCCAGAACAAATGGTCGAACCTGAGCGGCAGGTCGAATGAGGAGAACTTGGACTTTTTACCGAGGTTAAGCTGTTTAGAGATATCCTGGTACATCTGATTGCGCTTCAGTTTCCGCTCAGCTCGTGCCGCGAGATGGCAGGACACAAACGCCATGTTGGTAGAGCCGAACGCAAAGGAGACTGCCACTGCTCCTTTGTTACCTACCATTCCACCCACACCTGCAATTATAAAACTTTTAAATTTACTATTTCAACATTGTAATTATTATTTGATAGGTTTCAAGTCCAAATATGACCTGATCACAAGAATGAAACAGTAAAACAAAAATGCTGAGAAGCGGGCACATACCAGTCTTCACGACAGCGTATTCAGGGTTAGAGATCTTGTTGATATGATCTGACTTCACCAAAACCACTATCCGTATCCCTTGGAGGGTCTGTGATCCTATTAAATTATACTGCACATCTGAGGAAATTTCACGTCAAAATTACTTCCCATCGTAATAACTACTACTACCATCATCCTTGATATCGCAATTTAGCAATTTTGCGACAGATTAAGTACCTCAGCATAACAACATAATAGGGAAACATCCAAAAAGTAAATGAACATTTTGAGCTTATCATTAATTTGCGTAATTTCGATGGAGTTTTATTCTGATAAACATACTTGGATGTCTAAGAGATAGAGCTCTTTTGATAAGATTAACCCAGTCTTTTTCAGTTATATTCGCTTCTTGACTACCTGAAATAATTAATTGCTGTCAGAAAACGATGTAAATTTGAATAATTTACAGTTTATCAACGCAATAGTTTTTAAAAAGCATAAAGGTAGTTTCTTAAAAAATATGTAACGAAGACTTACCTATGGCGTAAATGTCGTGAGCAATTTTGCCCTCGCTAGAAAATCCAGAGATGTGATCTCCAGTGTTGTCGAAGAGGTGAACAATGTCGTTCACTGGTTCAACTTCTCCCATGTTCCAAGTACAACAAAATACCTAAAAATGTTCCTAAATTAATATTCTGCTTATGTAATGCAATCTTATCATATTTAGTACGTGAGTATATATTGTTGATTGATATATTTATTAATATACATATTAATTAACAATAATTAAGATTTATGCCTAAGATATTTGTGTACAATTTTTGAGCATGGCATCATATATTATATTATATTATTTATAATATTTGAACGCGCGCCGCGCCACACACATGTTATGAGGATAAATTGCATTGCGCGTTACGTATAACTTAATCTGTGTAACCCAAAAACGTAACCAAATTTAGTATCGGAACATTCAAACATCAACAACTCCCAAGTCTCGAATAGTTCCTAGTAATAAAGCTCTATAAGGAAACATTCTGCAACCATCTCATACAAAATGCTACAAAAAATCGGTATTTTGCAAGCTGTGAAGATCGAAGTTTTTGCTAAATGTTACTCATCGCCTGTCTGCAAACCGCTCTCCCTGCTTTTTGAACATAAACAAAACTCAGAAACTCAGAAAGATGTTAAAAATCCTCCTTCCTAAGATAGCCGATATCCCAACGTAGAGCAGTGTCTATCTTGATGCAGATTAATAAAATGACCTGAACTTGTAGAATTAAACCATGGACGGCGAGGAAGGGCCAATCAATACAAATCACTTCATATTACAATGTTTAGCTTCTTTAGTGGTACAGGCTTAACATTTTGCAACCATTTCGACAGGTATTGGTGCAATTTTTTTTTCAAGAAAAATCTACGGACCGAACTTTGAATTCTCGAATTTTGATGCAAATTGCAAACAGCAGGGCGTTAAAGAAATACGTAATTCTTTTGAATATTTTTCTTTGCGCACGAATAATGCAGATAGAAGCTGCAGAAATATAAATATCGAACTTTAGTGCAACTTATCTTTACTTTTATATGTCAAACTTATGATCCTTTAATAAGCGAATAAGGGCAAATGAAAGTTATGTTGATGCAAACGGTCTCCTTATATGAGACAATACGTCATGGTTACAAGGATAAAGGGCATTACTTTTTCATGACATGCAAACTTTCATAAAGATTGAGCAATCCATAAATATACAACCAATAAATATTGATACGTTATGCAGTAGATGACCTCAACCTGCACTGTAATGAAGACACTGCAAAGTTTTCTTTTTTTCTGAATCTTTCAACAATTTTATTAGAATTGAGGAAACAATGGAAACTACAAAGTGAAATAACTGTTTCTCACCCTACCTTACAGTGCTTACATAACCTCAATCCTGGTCCAACATCTATTATCTATCATATTGATAGAATATAAATTAAAAATAAGCATTCTACTGCTACTTAGAGCATAATTACATAATTTTAAACCTTCACTTAACCAACAAAGACTCGCTACCTATCAAGTATCAAACAAACAATTAAAACGAAGAAACAAGTAAACTAATTACTAACTTAAGCAATTAACCAACTAAAAGAAAACAAACTTACCGAAACAGTTTTAACATCCTTCTCGCTCTTGTGAATGTGTTTTATCTGGGACACAGTCTGAAGAATTCCTCTCGAGTCCGAGTATCATCAAACACTATCTCACGTTTCTTCTTGTCCATGAAGATTATCGTCATTTTGTTTGGATCTTTGTAGTTCTTCTCCAACCGTTTGATCTGAAAATGTTATTATGCTATAATGTTATCGTCAGAAATAATTTAATTCTTCTTTAGTTCTTGTGTTAAACTTTGAAATTGTATGACATTTTCTGAAATCTGAATTATATTTCTAGGTATATATGACCTAATAATATCAGTATAAGTATATGTAGAACCCTGAGGCTAGCTGATTGTATTTTTAAACTATTCAAAAACTCTCAAATTTGTATTCCGACACACAAAACCAATTGCTCAGTGAATGTAACGTAGGTTAAAACCGGATCGAATTTCAAAATTCGGTGCGTTTTGGCCAAGAACACCATTACTCAATAACAAAATTGCCTCCATGTTTTTGAAATTTCGCAATGTTATCTTATTTTTCTAGTATAATCTGGGCACCTCATCAATGTGGAAGGTTTTTCCTCCGATATTGAGTTTCCGCACTCTCCCATATATGATGATGAGTCGGCGGATGACTGAAAATCTCTTGTGCTCGTTTATTGAGAAGCATTGAGTCTTGCCTGCTTTAACCATAGGCCTGAACACAAAGTATACAAGTTGAGTTTGTCAGTTACTGTAAAGTTACAGTAACAATGCGTGTTAACTACTGCTACCCGCTGGGGAAGTTCAGCAGCTTACTGACAAACTCAGTTTGATTCCCATTTCACTGAACGGATACCAATTTTACGAGAAAATAAAATATTTTACTTAAATTGTACTTGAACCAGAAGGAAACACACACACAAACGAGGCTTGAAATCTTTGTTTTCAACTCAAATAAACGAAATAACGGAAACCTCGGCACAGGTTGGGTACTCTTACGATCTGTGACATAATAGTCACTGTCAATGTTGGAACTCCAGCTCTGAAAGTTTACAGCTCTTTCGTATCTCTCAGTTATACTCATCACACCCAGGTTACTTCTACAAACAAATCTCTCCCAAAAACAAAACCACGACGAAAACCTCACTACATCAAACACCAAATCTGGTAAGGGTATAACCAGTTCAAGGAGAGACAGGTATGTGCCTAGCTACTAAACTAAAGATTATGAGTCGACTTTGCTTCCTAGTTAACCAGTATATACTACACACTGGTCGCTACACTAGTCAGTATATACTACACACTGGTCACTACACTAGTCAGTATATACTACACACTGGTCACTACACTAGTCAGTATACTACACACTGGTCACTACACTAGTCAGTATATACTACACACTCGTCACTACACTAGTCAGTATATACTACACACTGGTCACTACACTAGTCAGTATATACTACACACTGGTCACTACACTAGTCAGTATATACTACACACTGGTCACTACACTAGTCAGTATATACTACACACTGGTCACTACACTAGTCAGTATATACTACACACTGGTCACTACACTAGTCAGTATATACTACACACTGGTCACTACACTAGTCAGTATATACTACACACTGGTCACTACACTAGTCAGTATATACTACACACTGGTCACTACACTAGTCAGTATATACTACACACTGGTCACTACACTAGTCAGTATATACTACACACTGGTCACTACACTAGTCAGTATACTACACACTGGTCACTACACTAGTCAGTATACTACATAATGTATAATAATGTCAGAACGACATTTACAATCATCAAGATAATGAAGATATGAGTATGAAGAGGAGGGCTAAACTTAAGAGTTTAATCTATTGTAGGTGCGATTTATGTTCTCTACAAAACGATAGATTAATATTTTACCTACTTGATTTGATTATAACAGATTAATCTAGATTTCATGTACGGGTTAATATGCCAAAAATCAATAACGGCCGAAAAGTAATGCAAACACTAGCGTCTACAAAAAAGTAATATAAATCGACAAAATGTCTGTATAAAAATAGAAATTTTGCATCCGCCCACCCGAAAGGAAAAGTTGAGTCCATATACCATAATATATACCATATACCATGATATAGGGCCCATATACTCGTGTAAGCTATAACCATGTACAATACATAAAGCGTCGAGAACAAATAGATCACTCACAAATTGAGTATACATGGCCAGGAAATCAAAACAGTCAGCTTATCTAACTGAGAATAAAAGAGATAAAATCCAAATTTCACAGATTAACCTAGATCTAACACGGAGATAATAATGCAGCAAGTAAAGACTATGCCACTGACATGAACATATTCAATGTTACCAAATTACTGGCACCACTCCAAGAATGGTATGTTATAGGAACCCTAGTTATAGGAACCCTGAGCCTCCAGCGGTTTAGAGTTACACTGTGAGGAAGTCAAGCTGATGTACGAGTAAATTGAAGGGTATTTTCTTCAGAATGTACTGGATTGTGGTGTGACAAAACCCTAGACAAAATGTAGTAAGTAAATCCACTCGGCAGTGGGCAACAAAGTTTAAAGTTGGAGAACAGCAGTGTCTATGATTCAAATAAAATTTGACGATGCTAAATAAAAGAATACAGGGTGTACACTTTATGCAGTACACCCTGTAGATCTTCAGAATAGAAGCGTAAAGCGACATAATATATTAGAATACTAAGCAACAGCAGTGAATACTCAATCCACATCAAATGATAAGTAGAAACAAATTTATTTCGTCACAAAGTAACTGTTTGCCGTACAAAAGTATCCACTAATTTTTAATGTGATTTAAATAAAATTCGACATTGGTAGACAATAGAATATAATTACTTCGACAGACAAGACAAATAAAACTTCGACAAACCCACTTATCAATCAGGGTTAATCTATTTAACCGGGGTAAGATCTGTCTTTCTTAGAGTGGTCTTGCGTAAATATTCCCCTACGAAAAATATCCTTAGAACTATAGCGTGAAAATACAACAGCAGTGAAACTCAGTCCACATGATACGGCAAATGAAAATTATCATCAACAGATACTGCACACTAACTGAGTATACTTATTATTATCGAAATAAAGTTTGACGCTACTATTATTATATAACTTTATTCAAATCAAAAATGGAACATAAATGAACATCTTAAAGATCTGATAAGTAGCCAGAAAAAAAGAAATACTGATACACAAGCTATAACAATTTCTTTCATCCCGCTCTATCAGAGGCTAAAAGTCTTAAATTGTACAAATCTTCTGTACGCTACTAAACAAAAGAATACAGTTTCACAGCCGGTTCAGATAAAAAAGCGTGGTACAACAAAATACTTAGCAAAAGAAGCGATCCCATGGTATAGAGCAAGTGAAACAAGACTATTATAGAGCAAGTGAAACAAGACTAATATAGAGCAAGTGAAACAAGACTATTATAGAGCAAGTGAAACGCAACAATGTTGTGGTCTCAACAGTGTAGATACCACAAAGTAACAGAGTCTGTACAGTTAGATACCCCACTGTAATGTGTCTGGGTTCGTGAATTTGGGGTGACATACCAATGGATCTGAAGTTATGTAGCAGGATTAATGGGTTCAAATTACCCCCCTCTTATCGCACACACTCCTAATCCTGCTAATAAATATAATACCATTGTCTGAACTATATGAAGACTGTAATTGTATCAGAGATATGATCCGCACTTGTAACAAAGTGTGTTAGCAACCCGTGTGTTAGCAACTGGTGTGTTCCACACGTGGCACGTGGAAAAGTCATCCGGAATCCAGTCACTGCCAAACATGACCACATCGGATCACGTGTTAAACTTCCGTTCGGTGGTTGGTATTTGGCGGGAAAAAACCAATTTGTTGTTAACTTTGGAGGTGTTAACTGTTAATTTAATACTGTATTTTAGGAGAGAGGGAGATATATAATACTGGATACTACTGGATACACCCTTATCATGTTATAAGTAGTAACTAGCGTCTGATTAAACACGCGCTGACAGTTCGTATATATACAGCCCGACCCTTATTCGAGCCAGAAAGTCTAGAGGAGTACTAGGACAGAGGAGTACTAGGACAGAGGAGTACTAGGACAGAGGAGTACTAGGACAGAGGAGTACTAGGACAGAGGAGTACTGGGACAGAGGAGTACTAGGACAGAGGAGTACTAGGACAGAGGAGTACTAGGACAGAGGAGTACTAGGACAGAGGAGTACTAGGACAGAGGAGTACTAGGACAGAGGAGTACTAGGACAGAGGAGTACTAGGACAGAGGAGTACTAGGACAGAGGAGTACTAGGACAGAGGAGTACTAGGACAGAGGAGTACTAGGACAGAGGAGTACTAGGACAGAGGAGTACTAGGACAGAGGAGTACTAGGACAGAGGAGTACTAGGACAGAGGAGTACTAGGACAGAGGAGTACTAGGACAGAGGAGTACTAGGACAGAGGAGTACTAGGACAGAGGAGTACTAGGACAGAGGAGTACTAGGACAGAGGAGTACTAGGACAGAGGAGTACTAGGACAGAGGAGTACTAGGACAGAGGAGTACTAGGACAGAGGAGTACTAGGACAGAGGAGTACTAGGACAGAGGAGTACTAGGACAGAGGAGTACTAGGACAGAGGAGTACTAGGACAGAGGAGTACTAGGACAGAGGAGTACTAGGACAGAGGAGTACTAGGACAGAGGAGTACTAGGACAGAGGAGTACTAGGACAGAGGAGTACTAGGACAGAGGAGTACTAGGACAGAGGAGTACTAGGACAGAGGAGTACTAGGACAGAGGAGTACTAGGACAGAACTAGAGGAGTACTAGGACAGAGGAGTACTAGGACAGAGGAGTACTAGGACAGAGGAGTACTAGGACAGAGGAGAACTAGGACAGATGAGTACTAGGACAGAGGAGTACTAGGACAGAGGAGTACTAGGACAGAGGAGTACTAGGACAGAGGAGTACTAGGACAGAGGAGTACTAGGACAGAGGAGTACTAGGACAGAACTAGAGGAGTACTAGGACAGAGGAGTACTAGGACAGAGGAGTACTAGAACAGAACTAGAGGAGTACTAGGACAGAACGGCCTAAGCGAGGATGATAATCGACTGGTTGTGGTGAGGGGTACATGCCTCATTTCTTTTCCTTTTTGTAGCTGAAAACTTGAGAACAAACTGCAAAGTGCCGGGGTATCATAACGGTCGTCGAAAGCAATTATTCTTGCGTAACCCCGATTGTAACTGTAGCTCCCGAATTCTAAACCCTCGCGACATTCTAACATTGGAAGCTGAACGAACTTGAGCACAAACTACAAAGAAATGGGACCTGATAACGGTCACCGCCTGTAATCAGGGTAGAAGAGTAGAAGACAAACGACCGAACCGGAGCTAACCAGCAGTGGAGGGATGAAGGTAAGTAATAATACAAAACAGTTACAATTTGTAATTATCTTACATAAGTAACCGCCGTAGCGGCGAGTAACAGTAAATACAATAGACATTTAGCCTACTTAAGAAGACTGTTTAGTAGGCGCTGTATAACACATAAGTAACAAGAGGAAATGGTGACAAAGGAGACAAAGGAGACAAAGGAGACCCTGAAAGAGGGTCCGGCACTACAATATAAGTATCTGGTACAACAATGAAATGTACATTTAATCAGGTTTGAGAGGAGTTAACACGTATCAAACTACCGAATCTTCGCAGTGCTCATGCGCTTATTTAGATAAAAGGAAGTGCGACTTTTCATAGGACAAGTTAGTGTTAAATGCAGTTGTATTTGATGTCATTTTGATTTGAATCGCACTTATGTATAATATATCATGTCGGCTCAGCTAATCAAATGCTTCCTATATTCAAGCAGCGCTGCAATGGGTTAATGACTGAAGCACATATCTTTAGCATTCAATTAGATATGCTACATAATTGTAGCAATTTTATGCAGCAAGTATATATACTCGTATTTATACGAGTTTGCACGAATACACGACTTTTGTCCGAACGCGACTCTTGCCCGAATTAGGGTTAAGGTTAACTTATGGTTAGCCGTAAGGGTAAGGGTTAGGCCAATAATTCGTCGATTTTTTTAAGAAGCTCATTTCAATGTTTGGACACTTACTTCAATGTTTGGACAAATATAAGAGGCACAATAAATAGTAATATAGAAACACCAAATGAAGCACGGTCAATCATCGAGGGAAAATAAATTGAGGCCAATGGTAAACTAAGTGGTATACAACAACACACCATGTTAAAACATAGCTTAGCTCCAAACGTATGTCAGTATTATACGACTACAAAAAGTCATAACCTCCTAATTATTCAGCCACACCCTGGGGTAGCTCCTTCATCCGGGTTATTGCTATTGTTAAAATATAACTACTTCTCTTGTGTATGATCTACTGACCAGCCCATTCAAGCCAGGTACCCTCCTTGTTTGTGAGAGTTCACTGGGATCCATCTGGCTCCACCTGTCGCCCCTTAAAACGGGGAAAACGCGAGGTTTATATCCTATCGTCTTATAACCCACTAGTAGCTGAATAATCCTACAAGTACATCTAAGATGCAATTGTTACCTGTCACTATATAATCCCTTAACAATATAACTTTAAGCGCTACCTATAAACCTGTGTGTTTTGTGAGTAAAGTTACAAAGAATTCGAAATCAGGATCACTAAAATGACTGTATAATTTATGCAATTATAAGTAAGTTGTGTGATGTTGCAGGTTTTGTAGTATTACTAGTCCAACATTTAGGACATGTGATCATTTTAGGGAACTTCCGCCCTTGTGTCATGTGATCGACCTCCACCCTCGCGACCTCCGCCGTCGAGTCCAGCCTTTTAGGAAACTTCGGCCCTTGACACCTACGCCCTCGCGACTTCCGCGCTAGCGACCTCTGCCCTCGCGACCTCCGCCCTCGAGTCCAACCTTTTAGGAAACTTCCGCCCTCGCGACTTCCACCCTCGCGACCGATTCCCAATGAGACATGCGCGCAATCCAGCAGACCCTTACAAGGATTCCCACCGTGTATATCATACCAATTATTGTTAATAATATAATATATACTGAACCTATTAAAACTTAGGAATATACTCATCAGCTTAAACTGCACTTACTTACAATATGTGAGACACAGAGACCTACAATCAAATACACAAATATAGAGATGAAGAAACATGTTATTGTATTAAAATATGTATTTTAATTAAAACTACACACCTGTTGGTGGAAGTACTCCGTTCCAGATTTGCCGAGCCCCAATGATACGGTCCCTCTCCTGGGATCCACGGCTAGGTGTATCTTTCCTCCTCGTAGTCCCTCCTCCTTTGCTTCAAATGTCTTGGTATCGTTTATCAGACACTCCTCGCTTACTTGGATACTCCTGCGAATTAAGGGAGTTAGATGCAGAAGTCATGTGATATTGTGCCAATTTTGTATCTGCAAAATTATTTAATTATCCATGGCGGCCGAAATTTTAAAAAGACTGGTACGTTTGACTCGAAATTTTCAGCTAATTCTTTTACTGGTGTTGACTGTTGAGGTGTATCGATAAATTATACAAATTACACAGTCAATTAAACTATGTGGGGTCGCATTAATCTGTTATAGATTTGAGACTTGAACGATTATTACAAACTCATTATTTACATGGCGGGCACGCCTCCACCATAATTACTATTGGCATAAATGAACTAGCTTTTTTAACTATGCTAAAAGTAGAAAGACTAATGAAAATTCGCCTGTTTTGCCGATTCGTAATAATTTTAGATTTGAGATCAACTTTGTACAAGGCTAAGAAAGAAGCTTGTAACTTTTCTATAGCAAATCTTAGACAATTCTTGGTACAGTACGGCATTGTAATAAAATATGAAAGTGTCATATTTCAAATTTTGCAAAAAAAAGATACACTCAATCTGAAATACCACAGTATATCAAATATTACTATCAGTACAGCATCAGACTTGTACGTAACTTATCGAGCTTCCGACAACTTTGTGCGCTCAGCACCGGTTTATGAAACAAGTTTTGAAATCAGTTGAGTATCCAGACTAAAACGACCAAGGGTTTTGTTATTTTAGCCGGTTCATGGAGAACCCCAGTCTAACATATGGAGGTTAAGTAAAACAGGAAGTTTAATAAAATAAGTAACTGACTTAATAATCGATAACATCCACCAAGGCGCCAGAAAACTCTGTCAGTAACAGGCAGTAAATATTAACAGTCAGGTCTTCTGAAGAAAAGCTTTGATATCAGGACAGTAATAACTGAACTTAGACATCAATTAAATAGTTATTAGTAACAATTAAATAGTTATTAGTATCTTTGGGTTTGGATAATGGGTATAGTGGTTGAAAGAAAACGTGTTAAGGGATATAGTGATCCCATAATATGAGCTATCAGTTAGCACATAACGACATGTTTTTGAGTACCAATGAGCTAGATGCTACTTTGTATAGGTTATAAGTGTATACTGTATAGTACTACAGAATATAGGGTATACTGTATACTGTATAGTACTACAGGATATAGGGTATTGGGTACATGGAGTTGGCTACTATCTACCATTACACATGGGACAGGGTACCAGGTACCAGTTGGTACTATCTAAATATACCAATAGTAGTTGTGCTCAAGAACAGTATGGTGTGATACTTGCCAACTGACATTTAAATTATGTACAGATTCATATGTCAGTAATATTATACACTTGTCACATGTGTCAATATGTAACATGAGTCAGGGGAATTGTCAGAATATTTCCAGCTGAGAAGCCGGTTAGTGACAAAGACTTGACAGGCTATGCCATGAGAAGTTTGTAAAAGTTTGGGCTCTGTCCAGTAACAACAGACCTTGAGAGTTAGTTGTGAATCTATAAAATGCTAAAATGTCAGGTAAAGTTTATTCCTTGAAAATTCAAAATTGATAACTTATCTGAATTGTGATTCACAGTAATTGAACAGTTATATTATCTTATTATATGCTGATATGACATTTTAGTTCCTTATACGCTGTTATAGTGTTATATGGCGTAGGGTTTGACAAGACACAAGATAACACCATTTGCTTGGTTTCTAATCACACATTGTGTTCATACTCTGACGTTCTTCGTGAAACTTCCAGAATAGGGTAGAAGTTTTGGGGCACACGATTCGAAGAAAAGATATTTTTTAGATTCTTATGATCAAAGAATTACTGTTTCTACTCATTTCCCGACAGATTAGATTCGCTTCTCACACAAAATAATGCCCACAGAAAATTATCTCGACCGCTACATCTCCAGATTGCTCCAAATCAATTGTCTGGCTGGTTTATCAACCACACATGAAGGGAAACCTCAGAAATACAACTAATCCTTGTAATTCAAGGAGCTATCTACATTTTAGCAGTGCACATCCAAACCACATTTATAGTGGAATAGTTTACAGCCAGTGTATCAGACTCAGGAGAATAATCAACTCACAAGAACGACTGGAAACCAGATTGAGTGAATTAAGCCAAGCATTCAAGGCAGCTGCTTATCCCTCAAAAATGGTGAACAACATTAGCAAAAAAGTTCTCAACTCCGAAAGAAACCTTGAACGAAGACCTCCCAAGGACAACACACTGAAGCCAGAGATCCTACCAATAAGGGTTGTCTCAACCTACGGAAGTGACTCTGACATTGTCACCACAGTGAAAAAGTATGAGGAGAACTTAAAGAAGACCAGAAGTTTTTGTAACCTGAGTGACTCAAAACAACAGAGTAACACCCTTGAAGAAAAGAAGAATGGCAAAAAGTTCTTCCAATTTGTCAAGAAAACAGGAAGCAACCTCAAAAGCCGGTTGGTTAAGGTGAAAGAAATAGCTCTGGGGAATAAGCATGGTCAAACAAGGCCGTGTAGAAAGAAGAACTGTGCAACGTGTGAGTCTATTGATAGTGCTACATCTCCAGATTGCTCCAAATCAATTGGCTGGCTGGTTTATCAACCACACATGAAGGGAAACCTCAGAAATACAACTAATCCTTGTAATTCAAGGAGCTATCTACATTTTAGCAGTGCACATCCAAACCACATTTATAGTGGAATAGTTTACAGCCAGTGTATCAGACTCAGGAGAATAATCAACTCACAAGAACGACTGGAAACCAGATTGAGTGAATTAAGCCAAGCATTCAAGGCAGCTGCTTATCCCTCAAAAATGGTGAACAACATTAACAAAAAAGTTCTCAACTCCGAAAGAAACCTTGAACGAAGACCTCCCAAGGACAACACACTGAAGCCAGAGATCCTACCAATAAGGGTTGTCTCAACCTACGGAAGTGACTCTGACATTGTCACCACAGTGAAAAAGTATGAGGAGAACTTAAAGAAGACCAGAAGTTTTTGTAACCTGAGTGACTCAAAACAACAGAGTAACACCCTTGAAGAAAAGAAGAATGGCAAAAAGTTCTTCCAATTTGTCAAGAAAACAGGAAGCAACCTCAAAAGCCGGTTGGTTAAGGTGAAAGAAATAGCTCTGGGGAATAAGCATGGTCAAACAAGGCCGTGTAGAAAGAAGAACTGTGCAACGTGTGAGTCTATTGATAGTGCTACACAAATCAGCATCAATGGGAAACGGGTAAAACCAGCACCAGGTACATGCATCACTTACAACATCATATATTTGATCAGATGTAAACTGTGTGAGAAACCATACGTAGGCAAATCCACCAGAATGCTACGGGTAAGGTTTGGCGAACACAGAAGAGCATTCTACAAGATCATCAGTGGGCAAAAGGTTGACACGGATGATGACTCAAACTGCGTAGGACTCCACCTCCATATAGAGCATGGACTGACTCAGAAGGAAAATTTTAACAATAGTGTTTCAGTGTGTATCCTAGAAAATTCAAGTCCTAGTAGTTTAGATGTTAAGGAGCACCGATATATACATGCCTTAAATTCCCTCCGCCCCTCAGGAATGAATAGTACAAACCCTTTTAAGATTCCTTTATTGCATAATTGATTTTTATTTTGTCTGAGGGGCTTTCCATAAATTATTTTTTTTAAATAATTGGTCCTTTTATTGATGTTTCATATTTCACGGCAGTTTCCTTTTCAGAGTTTGAGTTTATATTTAGAAACTAACCATACTATCTTTTAGATTTATGTCACTTATGATGGCTCCGGCTGAAAGTACTATGACTCATTTTATCTAGAAGATTGTAGTTTCATTGCTTCTGAAGTAGCTATCAGTTCGCCGGTCAATGTTGGGTATAATACTCTTGTAATCCTTGTAATATGTCATCGCAATAAGCACGGCCAGGTAGAATTGCTAGAATTATATTAGACTTAGTTCCTCCTCTCATCAAATTACTATCGTAATATTGAGCCCTAACTCTGCACTGTACACTATAGTACAGCACATTACTCGTCACGTTTTGGCATCAGTAGCAAAACATGTCAACCAGAGTTCCACTATGTAAAACATGTAAAAGATGCCAACTTTCTCCACTGTAAGAGGTATCATATGTAGACACTTCCGTAGCTTTTAAAACTTCTCTAATTAACCAGAGTTTGTGTATTTAACATACAGTGGCTTATGTTTCCTGGTGGTATTATAGTGTACTGTAATAGTGTCAATATGTTAGTGATACTGATATTAGTAGTGCAGAGTGTACAATGTTGCACTTTTACTATACACTTTATCATACACACACCCACAGATTATCACACGTGCAGTTTGTAGAGTATACATTGCACGTGTGAAATGTACATCGTGCAATGTGGATTAAACTATTGCACGTGGGCAACGCGCGGTAGTAAGCATACTGTCAGTATCACGTGATTAAGGAGTCAGTAGTGTTGTTATCATGACAACACTTGACAGGATTTACACACATTCTCCTTGCTACGATAGTATCAGGTGATATACTACCATCTCAAAACAGGAATACTGCGATTAGTAGTAGCACACAGATCTGCCCACCTTTATCAGATGATTTTCAAAAGCGTCGGAGTAAAATAGCATAAATGTTTCAAGAAATCTCTAAAGCTGTACTGGTCGTGTTTCTGCTGAGGTTAATAATGTCTGCAGTTTACAGTCTCCCGAATGCGGTATTCGGAAAAAACCATGAAGTATATACATTTACAGTGATACATATAAACTAGCATGGCATGATAAACTGCTAGAATGGTTCTGAAAATTGCAAGGAAATTACCCGATATACTAACTTTGGTCTAGTAAAACAGACGTTATTACTCAAGGACGAGCTCATACCGATACAATGAAAGACAACAGATTAGAACACTGTGCGAACATGATGATCGTACAGTTTTATATATATACAATATACATAAACAACAGGAACATGTAAATTAACAACAACAACAAACGCCTCAGTCAGTGTTGTACGTGTTTTAAATCTTACCAGATGTTTTGCCAGTACATTTGGTATTTCCCAGACAAGAGTATTTGTGCAACTTAATGAACATCTTATCAAGGGGTCGTACACTTCTTTTTCGTCCCAAAGTCAATTAATTTATTATATAATGTATATTTATAGAACGTCTTATTATTAGGTAAGTTCGTCTTAATTCTTATCACCAGGTTTTAAAAGTTTGTTTTTTTATGTATTTCTAGTTTGTTCGCCTTATCATCAGGCCAGTCGCTTTGACATCGACAATCTCTATTTTCATTTGGATTGTTCCTATACGCGGGATATAAATGCTATCTTCATTTCATTTTATGTTTGTTGAAACTAGGTACAAAAGGATTTCGCGATTATTTTGGCAAAAAATCGCGATACCGCGAATTTTAACAGACTATACATTAAACTATACATAAAATTTGTCGCAAATAATGGGAAAAATCGCGATTCCGTACATGCCGCGATTTCCTTTTGTCCCGGGTTGAAACCCACCTAGAGAGATGTTTGAAGACGTTGTTTATCTTACTCCCAATCCTAGTTGAGACTCTAGAACATTCCACCAGAGCTGGATCGATACTGTCTAACAGTTCTTCCTTTACTGCTGGTGCTTCCTCTCGTAGGGAAGTTTCTAGAAGGCTGGTGGAAGTTGAGATGTTTTTACGCTTTCGTTTTTGGAATTTTGTGATTTGTTACGGTGGGTTGAACGGATTTTAAAATGTACATTTTTTCCTACGATCATCGGAGTACACTCAAAGCTTCACACAGTTTATTGAATTATCATAAGTTAATAATTCAATTTTACATATTATGCATATTATGATTTTCCACATATTAGTATTACTGGGGAAAGTTACTTATTTAGTAACTTTCCCCAGAACAAAACTCTGGGTTTAACTTACCTTCCTTTAGCAATCCCACTCACAAGCTTGTCTAAAAACGCCATCTTCTGGTTGAAGAGTTGCAGCTGAGTCAGCAGGTCCCTGGGAATGTTTGTTGTAAGATTTTGTTGTGGTGCAGTAACCAGTTCCCTCAGAACATGGCTTACTACCATTACAGTAAGTATAGTGTATAGTGTATACGGTATGTATAGTGTATAGTGTATAGTGTATAGTGTATAGTGTATAGTGTATAGTGTATAGTGTATAGTGTATAGTGTATAGTGTATAGTGTATAGTGTATAGTGTATAGTGTATAGTGTATAGTGTATAGTGTATAGTGTATAGTATATAGTGTATACGGTAAGTATACAGTAAGTATAGTGTATAGTGTATAGTGTATAGTGTATAGTGTATAGTGTATAGTGTATAGTGTATAGTGTATAGTGTATAGTGTATACGGTAAGTATACAGTACGTATAGTGTATAGGGTATGTTATCAAGGATATCATGTACAATTTGTCTAGCTTTCCACAGTAAAACTAGCGAATCCAAATATCGTTTAAGAGTTCAAGCTTTAAACCTCTAGTTGTATGGTTTCTTAAATGTAACCCAAATGTAGCCCAATATTTTAAGTCTGCAATACTGCTTGTTCTAGAAATCCATTGACAACAACCTCTATTTACTTCCTCCGCCATATTTGCACATATTATTATTTAATACGTCAGAGCCCCATCTTTCTACATATTCCTGAATATTCCTGGATAAGGAACCTGAGTAGCCCTGACAATGTTGCATACTTCAAATCTAACAACATCCTCTTCAATCCCTCTACCTCAGACCCCTGGAGATTCTACAATTCTGCACACTGGATTATTCCAGAAATAAGTATACGTATTACGCGTCGCCATATAAGGAAGATGATAATACTAATAGGAGAGAGAGAGTATGTTGTTTTCCTGTTTTCACCAAACTGGAAGATGAGTAGAGGGGCTCGTGCGTCACAGTTTTCCCACAACCCGGAATAGTTAACTCCTTTATAAAGATTAATGATAATATGTAGTATACAGGATCAATGATGCATTATAATGAACGTAGATGATGTAGGAGATTGGATTGAGCTGTGTAAATAGGATGTTGGAGAATAAACTGCTAGATGATGCATTATTGCACCATCTTTATTGTAGTTGAATCTCTTCTCACAGAATAGTTATTGAATCCTCAACTCACTGCTAGTGATCACTATAATAATTCTAATTTCTAAAGCAACTTCACAACATGCTAAGAAAGAAACTTGATCTGCAGTTGCGCAGAAGCTGGTCCAGGACTTGTAGTAGAGTGTATAGGTACCTATTATATTGTACAGTGTATGTTATCCGAGCTTAATAATATTATCTCGACTACACTGCATCGAATTTCAGATGAAGCACAGGGCTTTATACTGCTCTGCAAGTTGTACCAAGTACAATATAATATCCTACATAACGTGGCAGCACATACCCATTACACATGTGGAAAAAGAAGGATTTAAAAACGTGTCACACCTAAAGACGTGTTGAGAGATACAATTCGGACAACCTCACGGAGCTGCAACACTTCAGGAGCTGCAACACTTCAGGAGCTGCAACACTTCAGGAGCTGCAACACTTCAGGAGCTGCAACACTTCAGGAGCTGCAACACTTCAGGAGCTGCAACACTTCAGGAGCTGCAACACTTCAGGAGCTGCAACACTTCAGGAGCTGCAACACTTCAGGAGCTGCAACACTTCAGGAGCTGCAACACTTCAGGAGCTGCAACACTTCAGGAGCTGCAACACTTCAGGAGCTGCAACACTTCAGGAGCTGCAACACTTCAGGAGCTGCAACACTTCAGGAGCTGCAACACTTCAGGAGCTGCAACACTTCAGGAGCTGCAACACTTCAGGAGCTGCAACACCTTGTACGGAGCTGCAACACTTCATCTGTTGTTCGGCACGTATTATAGTTTTAAATAATTTGATCAGGGTAAAGGGTCTCACAGGGTACCAGACTGTTGCCAGAATGTTACCAATCCCACATAGCTGTGACACACGACAACTCGTGTTCGTTACATGGCCCCAAATAAACCAACAAAGGCCCCACAGTGCGGGGACTGGGGCCCACACTTGTTCGGGTCCCTTCAAAGTAAAAAACCTAGAAAGCAGTTCATTTACGGTATAATCATAGTAGGCCGTTGTCTCCTATTATTGTCTCCTGCTATACCAGATGTGGTGGATTACAAAATATATCGAGGCAACCAATCGCCTATTAAGGGAGGATCTGTTTGACGATCCTATTAACCAATAACACACACTAGGATTACTTGCGTAACATTAGGAATCGTTAACCCGGCGGGGTTGCACCAGGGGCGGTGGTAACAGAGCTTCAAGACTCCAGGAGTCTGTTGTCGATATCTATGTTTAATAAATTATATATATATGGTATAGATTATTTTGGGAGTCTCTCAAGCAGCTTTGTGAAAGCCACCGAAAGGAAGGATTACAGTCGACGCTGACCAATCAGAAGAGGAAGACCAGATGTGGTGACAAAATGTCTCCAAACAGCTAATTTCAAACGGATCTTTCCTTTGGGCTCCATAATGAACAAGCTGATCCACCGTTACAGTGTCCAAAACAGACCCTTACTCCCGAATCTCACCACTTGTTGTAATATCAAATAATAATATACATAATACTAATACATAATATATACATATTGTTGTAATATCAAATAATAATGTACATTGTACATAATACTAATACATAATGTATATTGTATATGTATTGTTGTAATATCAAATGATAATGTACATAATAATAATACATAATGTATATGTATTGTTGTAATATCAAATAATAATGTACATTTAATAATAATACATAATGTATATGTATTGTTGTAATATCAAATAATAATATACATAATACTAATACATAATTTATATGTATTGTTGTAATATCAAATAATAATATACATAATACTAATACATAATTTATATGTATTGTTGTAATATCAAATAATAATGTAGTTCCGGACTGACCTGCAAGAGTAGTCCACGAGTCGCTCCAGACACCCAGTCCCTCCAGAATCATCCTTCTGTATGTCCCAGAACGCACTGTTACAGAGACAAATTGTTAGTCAGCCCACTCGAGCGAAAACTTAAAACTTATTTTAAAACTAATTGCAAACAATTTTAACTCTTGGAAATTGTGCAATGGGAGCAGTCAATGTTGTTGCCTTTAGTGCAAATCGGAATTCTGTGAAAAATTTCAAAAAATCGTAGTCCAAATCTCAACTTCTGATTATTAAACAAAGTCGAAATCTATGAACCCAATGACCAGGTAATCTAGCAGTTCTAATTTAGTAACTTAGTAACTTATTTACTAATTTAGTAGCTTTGTAACTTATCAACTAATTTAGTAGCTTTGTAACTTATCAACTAATTTAATAACTCAATAACTTATTAACTAATTTAATAGCTTTGTAACTTATTAACTAACTTATTAACTCAATAACTTATTAACAAAGCTATTTCTATTATCACCTAGTCTGAACGTATCTCCTGAGTAGAGCAACAAAACCAGGGTCCGCCTCTTCTAGTTCTGTGGTATCCAGAGAGTTGAACACATCTTGAAATATCCTCATAGTCTTGTTGCCTGAGTGACTGAAGGAAGAGTTACTTTTATAGACTGTGTTATAATACTTTTATTGCTTTTATTCCCTTTATACTAAGTGTTGTATTAAGTTTATACTAAGTGTTATATTCTCTTTATACTAAGTGTTATATTAAGTTAATACTAAGTGTTATATTAAGTTTATACTAAGTGTTATATTAAGTTAATACTAAGTGTTATATTAAGTTAATACTAAGTGTTATATTAAGTTTATACTAAGTGTTATATTAAGTTATACTAAGTGTTATATTAAGTTAATACTAAGTGTTATATTAAGTTTATACTAAGTGTTATATTAAGTTTATACTAAGAGTTATATTAAGTTTATACTAAGAGTTATATTAAGTTTATACTAAGAGTTATATTAAGTTTATACTAAGAGTTATATTAAGTTTATACTAAGTGTTATATTAAGTTTATACTAAGTGTTATATTAAGTTTATACTAAGTGTTATGTTAAGTTAATACTAAGTGTTACTTGCCTGAGTGACTACAGGAAAACTGTACTTATGTTAGAGCGTTTATGTAACTTTTATGTATTATTTTAATAAAACTTGGCATAATGTTTTACAATAAATGTTATTTATACATCACTTTATATAATTTATATTAAGTGATTGATAAATTTTTCCATGATTAGCGTAAACAGAGAAGTTCACTCAATACGGTGCGGCATCTTTTTAGAGAGCCGTTAAAAATGATGATAGTTTAGCTGTACAGTTCAAATATTTTCTCCTCTAAACGTCATTTACCGGAGGAGTAGAAGCTAATGTTTCAGTTGTATGACTAATATCAAGTAGCCGGTGTTTCGTGACAAATATCTATAGTAAACGAGCTATTGGACGGTATTTCATGTCTTGTAAAACATTGAATTCTGATACGTTTAACACTGAACTGTTTTTGAGCTGGGAAAATTCAAGGCGATGCCGTATATTTGATGTATTGACATATAAATAATATAAATGTGACGCCAGATTTTGAGTTTGTCGCTAATTAAGTGAGAAAAGTTGTACTAACTGTGTGGAAGTCCGCTTCTTGAGAGTGAGTCTCAGTTCTGCTGGGCACTTTCTTATCGTCTCGTCTTGTTCGTCATCAGACGACATGTCGTCCTGAGAGAGGACAAGGTGTTACCAGGGTAACATAGTATTACCAGAGTAACACAGTGTTACCAGGGTAACATAGTGTTACCAGGGTAACATAGTGTTACCAGGGTAACATAGTGTTACCAGGGTAACATAGTGTTACCAGGGTAACATAGTGTTACCAGGGTAACATAGTGTTACCAGGGTAACATAGTGTTACCATGTGCAGGGACATAACCTTCATGTTTTAGTTAGTACAAAGAGTAAAACAGACTCAAAACCAATTTCATCTGAATTTTCTCCATCACTCTATAAACTATTCATGATTCAGTCAGTTGAAATTATTCTCAGCCATTATAAAATGGGACACTCGACCTCATCGAATGAGTATAATCTTGCTGTGTATCCCGACATAGTTCACAGCCTTGGAGGATGCTGATTGGAGAATGGAGAACGCTGATTGGAGGATGCTGATTCATCAGTAATGTGTAAAATATAAGCTAAGGAACGGCAATCAAATTTGTGATACAGCAAGAATACATGACATGTTACGCAGCTTTAATCATTTTGACGGTACAACAAACAAGGGGACAAGCAAGCAAAAATTCAAACTTCGAAGTCGATGTCAATTTGAAAAGTTGGCGGTTGGGTCACTGGTCATCTCTTTTTCATCGTGTATTTTAAAAGCAGGTAGAATACTTCTAGATATGGTCAAAGCGCAATATCAATTGTTTAATACGAGAGAATAAGAATTTGATTCCTCAACACTTCTTGGAAAATTGCCTACATGTATGTGATTTCCAGACTATTTTAAAGCATTGTAAAATTAGAGCTGCCAAGTCCACTACTCGGATGTTACCCCGGAACAACAACAGAATTAAAATTCCAGTGATTTTAGATTAACAAACCGAACACCGTCAAACAGTTTCGCGTTTCTAGATATCAAAACGACAATAAAGAGAGCGAAGCATTTGTGTAGTGTAATAGACATTGGACAGATTCCAAAATCCAAGATCATATATAATTAGATTAAATATTATGTAAACTATGCGGTTACAATATGTTTCACACACCACAGTTACTGCAGAGGCACATATTAGGTGCGGTAAAAAAATCGAAATTATGCGGTACCGCACCCGACTATAAAGGTTAAATGTGCGGTAAGGTGCGGTAAATTTTTACCAATTATGCGGCAAATGTGCGTTGATTTTTTCGAAATTTGTGCGGGAATTGTGCGGTTTTCTTTTGCATTTTCTCAAGGACTTTGGAAATTCTAAACGTATAACCGCCGCTCTTATCAAAAATAGGTCTGTTTATGTGTTACTGAGGGTGTAGTTCTTTACTAAGACCATGATTGAACCTAATATTGAGATTCAGTTATCTGAGAACAGTGACTTGATCTGGTAGAGATCAGGAGACAGTTATTTGAAGACGCCTCTTGATAGAGTTGATCAGATCCCATGCACTATGCAGGTATCTTCTGTTTCTTGTGTGGTGAGCTTGACGATGGGTCACTGTCTGTAGCTGTTCGTTTCTTTAGGAAACGGTCCATGACGTTGTCATGTGATATAGAGTAATCAGATGATGTGGTGAAGTTACGAATGATAACTGATACACTATAATCGAAGTACGGTAACGACGAGGGTTCCATAACGGCCTGGGTCACGGTCCCGAAAGGGCCTGGGTCACGGTCCCGAAAGGGCCTGGGTAACGGTCCCGAAAGGGCCTGGGTCACGGTCCCGAAAAGGCCTGGGTCACGTGGTAACCGGGTCACGTGGCCTAGGCATGAGTTCCGAAAGGGCCTGGGTCACGGTCCCGAAAGGGCCTGGGTCAGGGTCCCGAAAGGGCCTGGGTCAGGGTCCCGAAAGGGCCTGGGTCAGGGTCCCGAAAGGGCCTGGGTCAGGGTCCCGAAAGGGCCTGGGTCACGTGGTAACTGGGTCACGTGGCCTAGGTATGAGTTCCAAAAGGGCCTGGGTCAGGGTCCCGAAAGGGCCTGGGTCAGGGTCCTGAAAGGGCCTGGGTCAGGGTCCCGAAAGGGCCTGGGTCAGGGTCCCGAAAGGGCCTAAATTATGCGAAATTACGCGGAAAATTCTAGATTATGCGGAAATATGCAGAAAATTACAAAATGTGCGGAAATGTGCGGAAAACAATAAATTATGCGGAAATGTGCGGAAAACGGTAAAGTGTGAGATCCCGCACCCATCGCACCTAATATGTGCCTCTGCGGCACAGTTTATCAAGTTAAATAGCTGAGCCCGAGATGATTTTGAACAAAATCACCATTTAATTCTACAGGAAAACTTTCCTACAACTTCACATGGACTAATTTCACATAATCTGATTACCTTACTCGGGAATATTATAACCGGGATAAAGTGGTGGGTTTTGGAAGATTCCGCCATATTTTTCCCGGTCAAAAATTTTACCAGTCATAAAAAAACCCGCCGACTCAGATTATGGGGTTCCAAGGGGGTGGTGATCATCATATTTTACCTGAAGTCTCATATGTGCTAGAGAAGACTTTTGAAGCAGTGGATGGAGGGCTGTAACTTTATTGGCGGTTGCTACCATAATTTCGTTATAAAAATCACAATTTGGTTATAGAAATCAGATTTCAGGGTGGACTGTGATTCTCACTTCTCTTGCCCATGAATCAGTGAATTGTAGAGAAGAAAAACAATTTATATGTTATAGAAGAAAACGAAAATAATAATAATATATATAATATATATTATAATAATAATGTCTCTAAAGATTGATCGCTTCTCGTGTGCAGTGTGTAGACTAAAGAAAGAGGGAGTTTTTCCCGTTAAAGTAACTTGTGGCCACATCCCGCTAGAAGTGAGTAAACTGTGCCACTATTTCATGGTCCACGGTGGATTGATTACTGGAGCAGTTGAAGATGCAAAGCCAAGACGTTCCCCAATACCAAGCGGTGGGCAGGAAATTAAGCTCCGGCTGACCTTCAGAGCAGTAGCCCCATTAGCGGACAAAATGAAAGTCTTGTTAAGACAATAATACAACTTCGAATTTGACGGTCAGCAGCTCAGGGGTGAGGGGGATATCAATAATGATAATGGCGGGGACATTAGCGATAATGAGAATGAGAATACGCTTCAATGAAGATTTGACTTATTATTGCTTAGATTTATTTTCCTTTAAATAGACGTGTCTTTTTTTTCTATTTCTGAGTAATATCAATAACTGTAAATTGAAATAACTTCTTTAACAAGTAACAAAAACAGAAATTTCGGTTGAAAATTTGTTGACCTCTGAAAAAAAAACTTGAAAGGTCGGCCACCGGTAAATACATGACCGGGATAATTTGGCGGGTTTTGGGAAAGTCCGCCATATTTTTCCCGGTCATTAATTTTCCCAGTCATAAATTAACCCGCTATAATATTCCCGAGTAAGGTAAGTTGAAACGATTATTATACGGTTTTATTTTATGAAGACTTTTTTATACAGACTTAAGGGGAGATACACCAAAAACGTTTTTGCTCCGAACATCGATTTTATTTTATATTATGGTTAAATAGACAAAAAGAATAAGATTGCACACCTTCAAAATTTTCTAAAAATATTCCCTCATTGAGAAAAAATATATTTTTCTTTTTCGAAAATTTTTAAAATTTGGAGAAGTTTGTCACTGTAATACCGATAGTTCGGCCATTTTAAAAGTTTTTTTGGCTGATTTTTTTACTGAACATTACTTACACTCCGTACAAGAAGCCCTTCAAAGGATTATATAATTGAACAATAAATGACCAAGTTACAGACCGAACAAGGTGAAAAAAGTAAAATTGGGATTTTTGCCTACCACCAAAGTTGTACATTTTACCACTCGCCCAGGTCATCAGATATCGCTTTACAAATTCTTGTGAGTGTAGCTGATGATCATATTAAACTTTTTGGAACAGGATTTCTCTCAGTTTTGAGTTTTAAGGTATGAAATGTGGCCTCAAACGACTTAGTAAAATTCATCGTAAAAAAGGGCCAAACATGGCAGATTTAAGGCTTAAAATGCCTATAACTCAAAAAGTCAAAAAGTGTCAGTTTTTTTGAAATAATTTTTACAGAATCGTAATCAGCTTGAGAAAACGAATCTTTTACAGAACTCTAAATGCTTAACGAACACTCTTGCAGGTACCACCCGTATTCACACTCAGACCTGAGTTTAGTCATTTTCCGATACGAGATTGGGGACGGGTTCTATAAACAAACAAACAAACAAACAATTAATTGAAAGATTAATAATTAATAAATAAAATGTCACCTCGTCCTCGTCCTCGGTCTCGTAGAAATCCTCCTCTTCTTTCTCAGGGGAGATGGGAAAGAGAAGTGGTCCAGCCAGGTTTATCTTACTGTAATGATTAGCTGTGTCATGGTTAATGAAATCAATCACTATTCCTCATCAAACTGACTTCCAATTCTAAGATCACGGATAAAGATTTTGTACTATTTGAAGAAACAATAAAACTGTAATAGTCTACTGAAATTCAAAACAACTAGAAAATCTTGGTTTATCACTGAGAGTAATGGTCGATTGTATTATTGCTTCATAATGTATATTATTGCTTCATAATATGACTTTATTTTCATTATTTATTTCTAGAGAGCAGGGGAAGTAGAAACGTGACGATCTTAAACGTCAGAGCTCAACTTAAATTAGTAGCTAAGTTGAGGTCTGACGTTTCAGATACAATAAGTCATGTTTTAGTGCTACTAAAAGTAGGGTTTACCACTTAAAGGTAGTGGACGTAAGCAAGAACACTATACTTAGTGACTCTTCAAATTTTCATGATAAATAACATTGGTTATCAATTATACCCAGATCAGTGCTTATTAATAGTAACTAATAAGTTAATTAAATTCTAACACTACACATAAGATAAACAACTGGACATACTTGGGGTTTTGCATGAGGTATTTGATGACCGCAACTAAGGACTCAAACTTCATACTGTTTAGATTAGTTCGGGTGTTGACAGTTACGTAGAACCCATCTGTATCCAGTCGGATCCTGGTGGTTTGTAGCTTGTAGATTAAAAGTTATTGTCTATAATAGCTAAGAGAACAATGATAGACCTAGTAGAATGCCTGATCTTCAGGCTTAATGATTTGAATTCATTTCTGAGTCATTATTAAAAGAGCGTGTCTACCTGTAGTGATGGATGAACCTATCCACATGGAGAGACAGTACGTACGCCCCTGGAACTGTGTCGCTCTTCCGCACCAGAAACGCTCCATCTTTCTCTGAGTTTTGATAAAGTTAGCAACTTGTAACTAATTTTTTTAAAGCTAACACGATAGGTATTATATATATTTGTCATCAATGGTGACACATTTTATCTGTGGCGTTATCTATTATTAAACTGGGCGCTCAATTGTGAACACAATTACCTGAGTGATATAGCTTCTCTTCTGCCTCTTTTCTGGAGATGGAATGATGATACCAAGCTTCTTTTTCTGCCATCACATAACACCTATATAAAAACAATAAAAGAAACTAGAATAATATAAACATTCTATCTTCATCACAATTTTGTTTTGTTCATTTCAGAAGATAAAATGATTTTTTTTTATTTGAAAATTCAATTAATTATTATATATATAAATCAAGCGTTACATTTCAGCCATGGAAAATTACAATGACATATTTTGATATACTAATTGATAAATGGAACTGCAATATAAGTTGCTTAATGTTTGGCCGGATGACAACTAACTAAAAGAGAAAAATAAACTTGATTACATAATAATTAATTCGGCTGAACCAACACATAGCAAGAGCCACATTAACGTTGGGGCCGTCTACCAAATTTGAATGACATACAATAACAAAAAATCAAACATATCATAAATAATTATATATGGATTTTGTTCATTACAATTCCGTCACAACTGATAGAAGAAAAAAGAAAGGACAAGCGGATAGGAAATTGGACGGCAGAATTGTAACCAACAAAAACACATTTGAGCTAGTCTGGCCAGACTGTATCGGCAGCCCAGAGGTACTTGATCAGATTGGCCTTAAAAGTAGAAATCCGCTCTGACTGCCGGATACATACTGGTAGACTATTCCATTTCAGCATAGATCTATGAAAGAAGCTATTTCGGAAGGCATCCGAGCAGGGCACAGTGGTACTCATGTAAGTTGAAGTATCCGACCTATCAATTATTTGAGCATTGTGCCTAGTGTATCGGGTGCCCTCTGGACGGCATAGGACTATATAAGTAGGAAGCGAAACTGGGATTATGCTATTCACTATTTTATAGAAGGTCATAAGATCGTTATAAATAAACTTCTGCATGACATACGTATAATATGAATATAATTCAACAAAATTACCATTTTTATCCCAATTTTTCTTTACATATAATAATAATAATAATAATAATAAATACAACATTTATAAACCGCCTTATAGCTAAATCATATAACTCGATATAATTTAATCCTGGAGATAAACTCCAGTGCTTTCTAAAGCGGCTCTTACATTAACTGAGCTTAGTTTAATTGAAAATTAGACATGACAAGTTCATTTTACCTATGTAAATGCAAAATCAATCAAATGCTAGAGAAAAGAAGTATGTTTTAAGTTTGGTCTTGAAAGATGTAACTGACTCAGCTGATCTTATGTCGTATGGCAAGGAATTAAATACTTTAACTGCACAGTGACTAAAAGCTTTCTCTGTGTTTACATAGTTAGGAGAGGGCGGAAAACTAAGGTAAAAATAATCATTATCAAGACGTACATTTTTAAAACTTTGCTGCCTAGGAGATATCAACTCTTTTAAGTAAGGAGGAGCTATATTATTTAAACACTTGTAGGCAAGTAGGGCAATCTTAAAATCTATTCTAAATCTAACTGGTAGAAAATTAACTTTCTTAAGAAGTGGAGTAGTGTGTGCCTTTCTTCCTCTCCCGAAAATAAATCTTACAGCAGAATTTTGCACCTTCTGTAAACGACTTAAATCATAAGAGCTCAGTCCAAAATATACGCTATTGCAATAATCAATTCTAGAGAGTACTAGAGCATGAACAAGCTGAATCTTAAGGTTAAAAGACAGTTTTGATGCAATAAACCACAAATTTCTGATCTGAATATTACATGCTTGAACCACTGACGTAATCTGATCACTCATTGAAAGATAACTGTCCAAATACAGCCCAAGACTCTTCGCAGTTCCACTAACAACATGTGGCTCTTGATCCTTAACAATCTGTAGAGAGGCTGGAATATTTGTTGAGTCAAATTTAGAGGATATAACGATGACTTCAGTCTTAGAAGAATTCAGTTGAAGGAAATTGTTTGTCATCCATTTCTTGATATCAGACATACAGTGTTCCATATTGTGCTCTAGCTGTGATGGGTCATCAGAATCAAGAGTGAAATACAGCTGGGTGTCATCAGCATACAAATGAATACAGCACCCATGCATACTTGCAATGTTCTCAAGATCTTTGGTGTACAATATGAATAGCAGGGGGCCAAGGATTGAACCTTGTGGCACACCTATCTCAAGAACAGTTGCTGAGGAAGACGAATCCTTGACTTTGACACAAAATGAACGGTTAGCCAAGTAGGACCTGATCCATGTAAGAGCAATGCCTGTAATGCCATAAGCAGATCTTAGCTTCTTGATTAATCTTGGGTTATTGACAGTATCAAAGGCAGCACTCAAATCTAGAAGTAAAAGAACAACTTTAGTTTTCTTGTCAATAGTTATCAAGATGTCGTTATGGATTCTGGTTGTTGCAGTTTCACAGCTATGAAACTTCCTATAGCCGGACTGAACTTTAGAAAGCAAGTTGTTATCCTCAAGATAACTGGTGAGCTGTATAGATACACACTTCTCAATGATTTTTGACAAGAATGAGAGATTGCTAATAGGCCTATAGTTAGATAGAGATTCACCGTCAAGGCCACGTTTCTTCAAACTTGGACGAATGAGAGCCTCCTTAAGTTTTATAGGAAACTCACCTTTAACTAATGATTCATTGACTATAAATGAGATCAGAGGAAGGAGTTCTGGGAGACACTTGATGAGAATCTTTGTAGGTATGGGGTCAAGATCACAGAATTTGTTAGACATATTCTTTATGATGCTTACTAGTTCTTCATCAGACACATGACGGAATTGTACTATCTTTGGGCTATTAGAAAGAGGAACAAATTCATCTGAGTTAGGAGAATCTTGGGATTGTTGTTCTAAATAAATGTTGTTGTACATGTTGTCGACCTTTGATTTAAAGAACTGTGCAAAGTTGTTAGCACTCTCAAGATTTGAAGAGCAAGAAGGTGTAGTAGTACTAACTTTTTCTTTATTGAGCAACTTATTAACGATGGAATAAGTCTTTTTAGCATCACCTGCACTATCTTGTAACCTTGTTTTGTAGAAGTGATCTCTTGTGGATACAATGACTGAGGATGCTCTCTCTGATTGCTTTCCTGTACAGTCGTTTATAATCTGGGCAATCATGATTCTTTTGATACAGTCTCTCAATCTTTCTTCTCATTGCTTTTGCTTGTTGACAGTGTGTAGACCACCATTCAGCGTTATGATCTTTTCTTGGGATGAAAGTTTTTTCTTTAGCATGCTTGTCCAAAATACTGCTCAACTCAGACTCATAGATATCAACTGCACTATCGAGGTCATTGAAGCAATCAGTGTCACATAGTTTTGACTTAAGAATGTCCTCAACAAAAGCATCTAGGTCTATGCAAGCAATGTTTCTGTAAGTAATTGGTTCTAGAGTGCCTATGGGTGCTGGAGATACATTGCAATTGAAAGCAACAAAGTAGTGGTCAGACGATGTACCAGAATCAGTAATGACAGGATCTAGAACTTCAATGCAATCGTGAGTAAAAGAACCATCCCTGGTAATTACAAGATCTAATATGCCCCCATCTCTGTGTGGTGCAGCTGAAATTTGTTGCACCCACCCACAAGACTTAAGTAGTGAATTAAACCTTTGTGCAACTGAATCATTTTCGTCTTCAATGTGGATATTAAAATCACCCATGATCAAGGGCTTTCCAGGTTTGTCTACTAAATCAACCAAGAGTTGCTCAAAGTCAGTTAGAAATTGGGGGATGTTAGCACTCTGAGATGTGGAGGTGCCAGAACGGTAAATTGAAACAATTCGTAGTATATCTCCAGAAGATGATTTGAATGTACATTCACAAGACTCAAACGTTTTGAATCGCTTGCACTTCTGAGGAGTCACTGTAAGACTTTTCTTATATAGAACAGCAACACCTCCTCCCCGCCCAGCTCTTGGCTGGCTATGAATGGAATATCCAAGTTCTTTCATCTCAGAAAACTTAGCATTGTCATCTTTTCTCAGCCAAGTTTCTGTAGCACAGCAAATATCAGTATCAAAGTCTTCAAGCAATTGCATGACTCCAGCAGTTTTATTGCAGATGGATCTGCAATTGAACAGGGCAAAGTTCATACTCTGACATTCTGACTTAGAGTTTGTAGCTAGTTTTTTGAAGTAAGGATGTTTTGTTTATACCGATTCAATGCCTGTTGCATGATGGGGCACTGCTCTGAGCTGGAATGGTGAGTGTTACAGTGAGATGAGATTCTTGGATCTTTTGACAGACTGCAATTGCGACATCTATGTCTGCTAGGGTCTTCCTTGTAATGACAGTCTGATGTTCTATGCCTACCGCTGCAATACATACAAACCAGAGTATCTTTCTCAGGACAATTTTGGGAAATATGGTGGAGCTTCTGACAATTATAGCACTGCTTGATGATGAATCTATCCTTTACAGGACAAGCACTATTCAGAATGAAGATTTTGCCGTCTCCTGTCAATAGGTTCCTAATCTGAGGAGAGACCTTGATCCCAGCAGTAGTGTACCTTAGTCCAACATTTATGTACACAATTTCAAAGAAATGCTCATTATCTAGCAAGTGTTTAAGTCCAGGATTTTTCAAGGGAATAATATCTAGAAGAGCTTTTTTAGTCTGTAACCGGAAATCTTCAGCGGGCAAACCAGAGCGATCAATGGTTTCGAATATCTGACTGGGAATATTAGACACAGTGACCTTAGGGAGAGCTTTCTGTGAGAGAGTGATGTGAAAACCAAGTAATTTAATGACATCAGAGTTTTCAATAAGACTTTTAGCCTTCAGCCTATCAGATGAAGATGGAAAAACTAGCGTTATCTTCTTATGTGAATCTAGTAGGCTAGTTTTCATAGCAATCAATCGTGTGTCATAGAGCAACTCAGATAGAACATCTGGAGCAGATGAAATATCAGCAGAAGGAGAGGGACTATCTAGCACCAATATCTCTTTACTTTCCTTGCTAATTTGATTTATGTTAGCGGACACTTTACTTGGCTGAGGAGAACTAGCACCACCTACAAGAGCTTCAGCAAAATTGCTGTAAGAGGACAGTGCACTTGGAGACCGGGATTGCAAGTTTTCTTTGTTAACATTAGAAACTCGCTCTTCCAG